CTCTGGAAAAATGTGCTCTGCGCGTAATTATTATCCGGCAACTCTTTGTCTATGAAAAGTTCGATACCACCATCCTTAAATGACAGAAAAGCGGTTTCTAAATTCACATCAATTACGAAATTAAGTAGGAAAGATAGGAAGACAACCCTGAGCTAAAACACTTTTCGTGATAAACTCGTGTCAGCCTCAACTCGGCTCTGGTTATTCTTGTACAGATAGTTTACGATGGAAACGAATTTCTTCGGACCTTCCTTTGACAAGACGCATTGACAGAGAACGGTGCCGTCGACTAAGCCGAAAGCCACTTTCACATCGATAAAAAAAGTGTTCCAGTTTTCGAAAATCTGCAGAGTGAAAATGTGATCAACATAGCTTAAACCAGGTCTAAACTCAGATAGAACACACATGTGCGTTACAAAAGCGACAGAACATAATGACAACGCGCCGTCTACATACGATGTTCACCAATCTAATCGCTGTGGTTTTTATTATGAGACCAGTCAGCTTTCATATACGTCGACGTGACCATCAAACGAATCCAATACGTTTGGACTTGTTTCATTATTCATATGAAACTGCGGATTTTTGTCATTTCCAATATCACAGCTGGGTCATCGTCATTGAAAATGGTCGTAGTTAATCTATCTGGTCGAGTACCCTTCTCGCTTCTCATGTAGGATCAGTATCCATATCTACAGGATTCGCGTCGTTGCTCAGCTTTGCTGCATCTTTACCGTCTTGTCGCATAGTTCTTATGTAGTGCATGTTAATTCTCAGCCAACATTGTACATTAAGCTTTAAATTACCAAACCAGACCTTGGAAACGCTCTGAAACTGTTGCGCTTGCCCATGGTTTCAAGAAACATTGCAAAACGAATAAAAAATTTCATTTGAATGTATTTACCAAACTTTATATCGCATTGCTACCTCAATAAATGTTAATGCAACTATATCGTAGCAGGCGTAATTCGTAGCTATAATTTCATCGCAGGCCGACTGACAAGAGGGCGACCAAAAGTCTGTCAATAACTTTTGACGCTATATATATATATATATATATATATATATATATATATATATATATATATACTTACATAGAGAGGAATCAGTAAAACCACTTATAGGGAGATTTTGGAATGCTGCTGCCCACAACGCCGCAGGGTTGATTGTGAACCCTTACCCGAGCCTTTGACTCAATAACCTGACCCACAAGGTAATGGGGCGTTAACCAAACGCGGGAACGTGACCGAAGTACCCATAAAATAAGTCCCAGTTTGTGGCGTGCGACATTATTGTTGTTCTTATCTTATTCTATCTTTTCTGGTGCTTTAGTTACCGATCCATTTTTCAAATTAGGTCTTCAGCCCCGCGCACCTAAAGCAGCAAACAGAATATAGACGAGGCGACACGCTTTGGGCTGCCCAGCTAAGTAGAATGATAGCTGTCCAATGAATTGCGATATCTTCTTCCACCGTTGAGATAAATCCGTTACTCCACCCCTACGCTCACCTAGTGACGCAAGCTGTAGAAGTGTATGTGCTATTTGGCACCGTCAGTACGGATGAAGGTCACAAACTACACCTCGGAATGGTCCACTCTATACTATAAAGAAAGCTCAAGTCTGAACGTATCGTTTCCCCACACGATCAGTTTGCCAACACCAAGCCTTTGTGAACTGGTATTTCTATCAGCCAAAAAGGATTTTGGAAATGGTATCCTTCTCCATCTCCTTACACTGCGCAATCCATCATTGCTTACGCTTATCTTTCGGGCATTTATTCAGCTCGTCTCTGCTCCAAAGTAATCGACTTTGGTGCATCCAACGCTTAAACTAAAGACGCGGATATTGAACGTTCCCTGTGTTTGGTTTCGGGGGCTTGTGTAGCATTAGCAGCTCCCGGTGTGGAATTCTCGTCTTGAGTATAATTTCCATGTATCCTGGGTACCTCGATTTCATCGGTGACAAGGTGAATAAATATGATCACTGCATAGCACACCACCGGGAGCAAACGTCTAGAAAATACCGAAAGAAAAATTCAGGGAAATCAAGATAATAAATGACCATCAACACTGAGAAAATAATTTGCAAAACGACCAGCTCATGAGAGCAGTGGGAAGATTGGGAAACTTTGAAGGAGTGCACCTTGCTCAGACTACCTGATCCCATCGAGAAACTCTATAACAGCGTGTTCGGACGATGGTGGCATTGGATGGAAGTATAATACAGATAGATTAAGGGAAACGCCAGGGATTTCCAGATCGCGTACAGCAGAGGGAACTAAACGAAAAACTTTCATCCACCGCTGCTACCATAGAGATAAAACTTCTGAAGCAAATGTCGCAAGCCAGTTCCATTTTAAGGAACTGACCAGCGGCAAAAGAAATTTAGTTAGTACGTTTCCTTAGTTTCTTTATTACATCCTTGCGCATAAGTGCAGTGGAAGGGGTACATATCCCATAGCCACAAAGGCCCACTGCACTGTTAAGGATGACCAGCAACCAAGCCGCTTACTGGGCAGATGCTCCGCCTTTTATTATGCGCCTGCACATGAGTGCAGTGGGATGATAACCCAAGCAGCACATTGCCCAAAGTGCAGCGCACAAGTCTGGGCAGCTGAGGGCAGAAATGCGTAATGTGTAATACATAAGCGAAATGCATTAAATTCGAGAGATGTTATTACGACTATTTTTTGTGATTTCAGATAAAAAATGAGCAACGTATCTGTTAAGGAAATCACTTTGTGGTCATTTTAATGCATGGCGGCTTAAAACGACAGAAAGATAAGTAAAGCTGTTATCTAAGTATAACAACAGAGACCGAAAGCTGTTCATTTTGCGCGTACTTCTTCAGAAATGCGGACATGCCAATAAGGGCCCCAGTAGTGCTGCCTGAACATCGTATTGACAGCGCCCGTTTGCACATACGAGCCGTCTTATGGATGCGCTGCTTGCATATACCCAACCACTTCAACGGCTTGCTGCACTATTAGGAATAACCAGCAACCAGACTCAGGTCCCAATTGGTCAGTTGTGTCAACGAGCCGAGCAACGAAAGACCACTGCCTACCACCAAAGTTGCTAGAGGTGGCTGGATTCCGAGTTGGTAAGCTGACAGTTCAACTCAATTCAGACAACCATTAACCATGCACTTGATGCGGTGGCCCTCTGTAATCACTTCCCTGACAGTGGACGTGCCGGCGACGCCACCAAACGTCCGGCCAACACAACTGAAGTCAAAGTGAGTCAAAACTTACGGCCATCTGACCACATTTAACCAATTTACCATTTAGCCACCTCTGACTGGTCCGTCTGTAGTCAGAAAAAATCTCGACTGCCGTCTGACGCCAATGAGCGGTGCTTGCGCAACTGATACCCTACCTTGTGCACAATTACACGGCTAGTGCGGTCATCCAAGCACCGCGGTGCGTACACGTTTTTACTTCACGGAGAAACTGATTCAAGCCAAACAATGCTTTTAAATTTCTATACTAGTTATTATGCTCATAGACTTCAAGATGTGCAAACAGACAGTGGTACAACAATGGTCAGCAAAAGTGACGCATTCGGCAGTTATACATTCAATTATACGAAAGGTGAACCGTAACTAACGGATCACTCCAAGTGGAGAGAAATGGTAACTTATGGTACTGCCAGTATATGGGTTAACTAATTGTGCTAAATGGCCTTCAAAGATATTTGACTGTCAAACTTAAATAATCCGATCTTTTCACATTGTTTTGACCATCCTTTCCCAACAATTAACTCCCTTGCAGAAATTGTCCGACGGACCAAAATACAAAGATAGAGAATGATAACGGTTGCCACGGTTCCGTGCATATATTGCACCTTATTTCTCCCAATATAATCTATTTGGAAAATAGACTTATGCTTGTATTGGTTGTAGTCGATTTCCCCAAATGACGTGTGCGGAACTAATTATAAGCTCTATACTGCGGATCCTTGCTAGCACAAATGATGTGTAAAGTTGCGACATACCTGCCCACGTGCATACTTTATTTCCCATTTATCTAGTGCGCGATATGATTGGTTGCTGTGTTCCGCAGAACCCCGGACTAATGTCCGACTCCCGAGTCGTCTATCTTGTTCGCTTACATGTTCGAAGGACGATCTATAAACCTTGTGAACAATCTCCGATGATTATCCTGAAGGGAATATCAAGAATGTGTCGAAGAATTTTATACAGAAACGTATAAGCGCTTATTGAATACTAATCCCACTCGTAAGAATGAAGACACTCTGTTGAGTGATTGGCCCGTCAAATGTCATGCAATGTCCGCACATATCAAATTGGGGCGACCTGTTTGTTGTAAACATAGCTTAAGTGCCTAAACTTGCCTCAAATCCGCTTTTTCATAAACAACTGAGGTTTTCCCACACAATCTGCGGAGAATCGAGTAAGTTTTGTGGAAAGCGAGTAGTCGGCAATTGCAGCTGTCACTTCTCAGACGCGTGAGAAGTGATGATGCGAATCACCCGTACGAATTCGACGCAGATATATATATATATATATATATATATATATATGTGTGTGTGTGTGTGTGTGTGTGTGATAAAAACACTGTTTCACGCTGCTTAACCCAGAATTTTGGCCCAAATTAACAATAATAGTGAGCAACGGCGAAGATACGAACAGTGATAGGTTTGTTTATTGCACTGGTTACGGTTTTATGCGACAGATAACATGACAAACAATGATGCGACAGTGTATGCTGTCGAATTTTATTCAAACAGTGACTACATAACCAAGTAAACGTGGTTTTTGTGAGTTATTTACAAAAGAATGAGGTCGAATCCAGGCATGTGCCACTCAATCGCGATCGCGCTTCTTGTGGTCTGCCCTCACCGCTTCCCCAAAATGTTCAAGAACTTTCCCCTTGTCATTTCTTTTGCTAGATTGCTAGTCTCAGACAGAACTTCAAAAATACCTTCTTCCAGACCGACTTCGTACGCCAGATTTTGGAGGTGTTTTATTTTATCCATCAATTGTTGAGTAGAAAGACTGCCAAAATCTATTTTATGATTGTGAAAATGTCCCACATACCATGTATCAATTCCAAGTCTTCTTTATCAAGATCAGTTGCATATTTCGGCGGTGTTTGGAGACTGATCTCATTTTGTCTTGACGACATAAATTCCGATACCCCTGGAACTTATTATACTAGAATTCTGGGTTTTTCAAATACTTTGCTCTGGCCAAAGATCTGGAGATGCTCTGTCTAAGTTATCCTGACACAATAAAGCTTGCTCCGGCTTTTCCTCCATCAATAAACCGGCACGCGTCCACATTGTGTTTCAGCTCAGTTCGGTTCGGTTTGCACAGGACAGAGAATGACCACGGACAATTGAGTGTCTAGAATTTCCCTCGATAGTATGCACACTAGGTAGGCACTCGCCGCTACGCAGTTTATTTCTTCGAATCCCCGGTAAAAATAGAATGGAAACGTAAAACCGCAAAGCATATCAACTGCAAGAGTCAATATGCATCGTGGGCATTCAATAAGTCACTACGTAGCAAATTGAAACGTTCAGTAATTGAACACGTCACATCCATCTGTCTAGCAACATGCCCAAAAATTCACTGCAAGATATGTTCATATTCTATCTACGATCTACAGCCCCCTTGAACGCCTGGACGGTCCCCAGTTCAGTTCAGTTCAGTTCAATTTGCACAGGATAGATAATGGCCACGGTCAATCAAGCGTCCACTATTCCTTCAATGGTATGCACACCAGTTATGCACCTGCCACTGCCTAGTGTATTTCTTCGAATCCTTGCTAAGACCGAGAGGGAAACGGAAAACCTCATCGCGCATCAACTTCGAGAGACATTATGCAACGTGAGCGTTCACCGAGACAGTACGCAACGAGCGAAAGAGTCGATTAAACCATACTCCAGAAGGACCACAGCGCTACCCGTCATTCATCTAGTTTACTTACTCAAGGCTCACTACGAGGAAATATCTAGTACTACTTGCGACCTGGGGCACCTTTGAAGGATTGGATGGTCTGCAGATATATCATTCCACCTGGCAGACCATTCCAACTGTTCACTACCCTGTTGCTGAAGAAGTGCGATCTAGCCACCAATCTGGCTCGGGTCCTATTCATCTCCTTTTCATGTCCCCTTGTTCTGGACTCTACGGCCACTTGGAATAGACTATCTGGTCTAAGGTCAGAAAAGCCCTTCATGACCTTGAACGTTTCCATGAGGTCCCCTCGACTTCTCCTCTCCAACGAAAAAGGATTCAAAGCACAGATTCTCTGCTCATACATCTTACAACACTGCCCTTCAACCATCCGTTGAGCTTTCTGTAGGCAGACAGCGTCTTTTTTGTAGAGGGGTGACCAAGCCTGCACGCTGCCTTCTAGGTGAAATCGTACTGTAGCCGTGTAAATAGGTACGAATACCTCCGGATGCCGGCAAGATAAAGCTGATCGCAGTCTAAAGAGCTCCCCACGAGCCTGTTGTGCAGCAGCGTTGCACTTCTCCGACCATTTGAAGTCACTGTTCATGATTACCCCAAGGTCTTTAACCCTACTGACTGCTTTTGTGGCGAACAGCCCTTGATCATGAGCGGCAGTTAGGCTCTCTTTTGCCCTTGACAACAAATGGCTTTTTTCAGCTTTATGGGGTAAGCCCCATTTGCATGTCCAGTCCAGTACGGTACATTTATCTTTGCCCAAGTCCAGCCTACCCTCAGATCCAACAATCTTCACATCGTCAGCAAAATAAAGCTGGGCTATTGAAGAGTGAATGCCAGGTCAATAATAAATGACAAGGATAGGACCGGGCCTAGGACGGATCCCTGAGATACACCACTGGTGACGTTCACCAAACTGGAACACCTGTCTCCCACTTTGACGCAAAACATCCTGTGGGAGAGGCAGTCCTCCAGCCACCTAAATACTGGCCCACCTATACCGAACGTCTCCATCTTGCATTGCAAATGACGATGATTGACGGAGTCGAACGCCTTGCTAAAGTCCAGGTAGCATACCTCAACTTGCTTACCTTCGTCCAGTCATCGAGTTACTTCATCTAAGAAGCACAAGAGATTGGTCAGGCAAGATCTATTTTTCAGGAATCCATGCTGGGCCGGACTTAACATGGGGTGCTCCGGTAAGTGCTGGCAGATGTGAGCACGGATGATCGTCTCAAGGACTTTACATAGGATGCTGGTTAGACCTACCGGCCTGTAGTTTTGCATGTCCGACTAAGGTCCACTCTTATGCATTGCCACGACTTCCGCGACTTTCCAGTCTTAAGGCAGCTTACTCTGGTCCAACGTGGACCTGTACAGCCTGCATACCGGTAGAGCTATTATATCCGCCAACGGCTTGATGATAACTGGATGAATGCCATCGGCCCGCTGACTTGTGGCTGTTTAATTCCCGTAAGTACTTACGCACGCTTTCCTTGGGGGGGGGGAAGGAGGTTTAGCTCGTTTAACTGGGGAGCAGGATGCACCAGATCCAGATCTACCCGTACCCTACTATCCATTTTATGTACGCTACCAAAGCATCCCCCCAGGGCGTCTGTTTTGCCCTGGTCATCAGTGACAATACCGTGGTCTCTAGTGGATAACGGGCCTAGGGCACTCCTTGTTGAGCCTTTCAATTGCACAAAGCTGTAGAATTTTTTCGGCTGTTGTCTCACACACCGGGCCAATTTGAGCTCAAACTCCCGCTTGAAAGTTCTCAGAAGGCCCACAGTCTCGTTTCTCATCTCTGCATAGCGGTTCCAGGCTAGCTGACCGCCGGAAGCTTTGTACTGGTTCCAGCTGCGATTTCTACGTCTGACGGCCTTGGCTATTGCAGCCCTCCACCAAATGGGTTTGCCCTCCCCACTCCTTCGTTTCAAGGGTGCAAACTCATCCTGTAGGGTAATCAGGGATCCGTTTATGGCCCTCCAGCGCTTCTCGACAGTAGCCCCCACTATCGCGCCCCAGGTCAAACCCATCGCTGTATTACGAAGCCCATCTATGTCCATACTACCGAAATGTCTGACCAGCCTTGAGGGTACCTTGGGTTGCCGCATGCATAGGACGATCTTGACACACACGTGGTCACTCTTGCCCAGCGGTGCACAATGATGCAGTCCAGACACGTCGTTGGCCACGTTCGTTATTGCCAGATCCAGCAGGGATGGAACGCATCCAGTCCCATATCTGGTATTCTCCCTAATATCCTGGTGCAACGCACTGGCTTGCATCCACTCTAAGTAGGTTTGCCCCTCTGATCCGAGCAAGCGGACCTCAGTCGTCCAGTCGATGTGCGGAAGATTGAAGTCACCCATTACGTGGGTCTTTTGTGCGTCCTTAACTAGTTCAGTCAAAGTCCGCAGTAAACAGACGCCCTCTCCGTGGTTAGCGTTTGGCGCCCCGTAGACACAGACAAGGTTAACCCTCCGGCCCGGAAGGACGATCTTAACGGCGCATAACTGGATATTTCGAGTGCATATCTTGGTCTGAGACTCAAGGTGGTTTTTGTCTGACCTAACGAGAATGGCTACTCCTCCACCGAGGCGACCATGTTTTCTGTCCTGCCCATAGACTAAAAAACCGGTACCTATTAGGCCTGGAACGTGGTCTTCTTCAGAAAGCCACGTTTCCGTGACGGCAACTATTGACCCTTTCTGCTCGTCAGCGGTTTTGGCGAGTTCCGTCCATCTGCTTCTTATACTATACGCGTCAGTATATAATACCACCACGATTGCTCCGTCTCTTGGGTGTCTCTTATTATTCACTACTGTCTGTTTCTCAGACGCAACGCCTGAGATGATGGCAAGTTTTTGCTTTGGGTCGCCACACTGGTGTGCATGACGCCGGCCGATGATCCAGAACCTCCGACGATTCCCAATACATTTCCACAGGAGTTGCCACAACATCCAGACTGGCAGGAGTCGCGCTGTCATCCACCCTCGGACGGTACTGCCAATTGTCGTCTCCCAGCGCGTCTTCAATTACAACTATTCGCTACCCGCACGCGGCTTCTTTACTACTGTCGGGGCCCGGGCCTGAGAGCGGAGCACGGCATTCCGCTGAACTTGTTGGTTTCTCACTAGCGCCCTGGCTGGTCAAGCAAGGTTACCCCCCGTAATCTAGACCACCAAACCTTACTCTATGCTCGCCTGGCACAGTTTGATACCAACCCTTGGTGGTGTGAGCCACTACTGTTGCCCCCGCCAGCAGTTTATCCCGGGTGGTCTCATCAGCGAACTCCACTAGGATTGGTCTCGCACGATGTTCACCTTTGTTTGCAAGTGGTGACCTCCATGTCCCCACTCTGTGCACCCTTCTCAGAGTAGTAGAGTATGGAACACCTGCGATTCGCAGTATATTGTAGATCCTCCTCCTATCTATGTCCCGCCTGGCTTTTGATCCCCTTATAAAGGGTTCTTCCTGGTTTAGGATCAAGAGCCTGTGGCTTGAGACCCTGCCCATCGACAAAATCTGCCTCTGCAGATCCCTCGCTTTGTTCTCCAACACCAGAAGCGCAGGGTCGTCCGCCCTAGCCAACCCATCCTTCGCTATATTACAGCTATTCTTCTTTTTGGACTGCCCTGCCCTTCTAGGCCTCTGCTCAGTCCACTGGCCCTCGTCGGTCGGCTTCAAAGGAGTTGAGGCAGCGACCACCTGACAAGCTCTCGGAGCTGGTCCACTCACTCCGATGACTGTCCTCTCAGGTGTGGCTACAACATCCGTAAACGACTTACTGCAACCTGATTGCGATGGTTTGGGGCTTAATATTGAGGTACTACTTGGTGGGCGTTGGCCCCGCCCTTGGGCCCACGGTTTAAAGGCCAGACTGGCCGCCTCCTTGCAAGGAGCACGGACCCACTCAGCCCATGGGTTCTGCTTATGAAGAACAAAGGTGTCTCTCGCTATTCCTGAACACCTTGGGTGAGCCCATCTCTTGCATACCCTGCACTCTATACCATTTGCCGCGCGTTTTCCGCACTTAGGTGCGAGGCACGGGTCAGAACCGCGGGTCATACCGAAAACCAAAAAAACGAGAGCGAAAACAGCTCAAGTGCTATTTAACCAAAACCAAAATAAGCACTCTGAAACTTGCAGGAAAAGCCCCGCTAAAACAAAAAATACAGAAAGACTAAAAGCGGGAAAAGATCGCCTCAAAAAACACCGAACACTAATAAGCATTATTACGAGGAGAATAAAAATAATCTTTGGATGAAACGCACCTTAAATGCATTTCCGATACGGTCAGTAGCGTTAAATAAACTAGGTTAATTCACAAAACTATTCAAAAACTCAATTTGGGGGCAAG